GCATCGTTGATTGCATCCCGTAATTGGATGGTCAACTGGTCGTTAGCGGAGGTCAGCCCTCTGTCCAGGGATGTGGTCCCGCCTGTCACACCTTGTCTCGCTGCCACACCTTGGAGAAGCTGCCACACCATGGAGAAGCTACCACACCATGGAGAAGCTGCCACACCATGGAGAAGGTGCCACACCATGGAGAAGGTGCCACACCATGGAGAAGCTACCACACCATGGAGAAGGTGCCACACCATGGAGAAGGTGCCACACCATGGAGAAGGTGCCACACCATGGAGAAGGTGCCACACCATGGAGAAGGTGCCACACCATGGAGAAGGTGCCACACCATGGAGAAGGTGCCACACCATGGAGAAGGTGCCACACCATGGAGAAGGTGGAGAAGGTGCCACACCATGGAGAAGCTGCCACACCATGGAGAAACTGCCACACCATGGAGAAGGTGCCACACCATGGAGAAGCTGCCACACCATGGAGAAACTGCCACACCATGGAGAAGCTGCCACACCATGGAGAAGGTGCCACACCATGGAGAAACTAACACACCATGGAGAAACTGCCACACCATGGAGAAGCTGCCACACCATGGAGAAACTGCCACACCATGGAGAAGGTGCCACACCATGGAGAAGGTGCCACACCATGGAGAAGCTGCCACACCATGGAGAAACTGCCACACCTTGGAGAAGCTGCCACACCATGGAGAAGCTGCCACACCATGGAGAAGCTGCCACACCTTGGAGAAGCTGCCACACCATGGAGAAGCTGCCACACCATGGAGAAACTGCCACACCTTGGAGAAGCTGCCACACCATGGAGAAGCTGCCACACCTTGGAGAAGCTGCCACACCATGGAGAAGCTGCCACACCATGGAGAAGCTGCCACACCATGGAGAAGCTGCCACACCATGGAGAAGCTGCCACACCATGGAGAAGGTGCCACACCTTGGAGAAGCTGCCACACCATGGAGAAGCTGCCACCCATGGAGAAGGTGCCACACCTTGGAGAAGCTGCCACACCATGGAGAAGCTGCCACACCATGGAGAAGGTGCCACACCTTGGAGAAGCTGCCACACCATGGAGAAGCTGCCACACCATGGAGAAGGTGCCACACCTTGGAGAAGGTGCCACACCATGGAGAAGGTGCCACACCATGGAGAAACTAACACACCATGGAGAAGCTGCCACACCATGGAGAAGGTGCCACACCTTGGAGAAGCTGCCACACCATGGAGAAGCTGCCACACCATGGAGAAGGTGCCACACCTTGGAGAAGCTGCCACACCATGGAGAAGCTGCCACACCATGGAGAAGGTGCCACACCTTGGAGAAGCTGCCACACCATGGAGAAGGTGCCACACCATGGAGAAGGTGCCACACCATGGAGAAGCTGCCACACCATGGAGAAGGTGCCACACCATGGAGAAGCTGCCACACCATGGAGAAGGTGCCACACCATGGAGAAACTAACACACCATGGAGAAGGTGCCACACCATGGAGAAACTAACACACCTTGGAGAAGCCTGTATTGCTTGTATGTTTGGTGTTCATGGTGTGTGAGTATCCTGGGTTAGGTAGTAATCAGAAGGCGCCAAGCCATCACGTCTATATAGTACTGGGATCAGGATAAGGTCAGGATAAAGATTTGGGATGGGATAGGGTGAAGGAATGGTGCCCAACCACTTGGACGGTCGGGGATTGAACACGGACGTTCATTTAGCGAGACCGTCGCTCTATCCTCGACCCGAAGTGGGTGGGCATCACTTGCGCTGGTAGGCAGAGCAAGGACCTTGGACTTACAAGACACTGACAGAATGTCCGTGTGGTGTAGTGGATAAAGGACTAGGGATACGAAGGTGTATGGAGCGCCTAGCTGTCTGGGTTCGAACTCTGCACGAGGATGTCTTTCTGTTCAACCTGTCCTCTTAAAAAGAACGTCGCTTTTGACCGTTTGCCCGTATGGCCGAATTTGGACGTAATTTGAAAATGAAAAAAAAATGTAAATAAATTTGGGATTTTTTTTTCAACAACAGTAAGTTAAGGGTCCTATGATAGGTTAGGTGGGCAGGAAATTCTCATAAAGTTTCAAAGCGTTATGAAAAAGGTGAATTGAAAGTCATCTATTTTAACCTTACAGAGTCGGCCGGACGACTCAAACAGAAAACGGAACAGTACGTCACTTTTGTGAGTCGATTTCATTTCAAATTACGTCCAAATTTGGCCATAGTCCGCATACGAGCCAAAAGTGACGTTATTGTTAACATCCCTAAGGGTCCCTAACCACTCCAGGGCATACCTAACATCTCCTGGGCATAACTAACCCCTTCTGGGCATCCCTAACCTCTCCTGGGTATACCTAACCTCTCCTGGGCATAACCTATCCTCTTCTGGGCATAACCTAACCTCTCCTGGGCACACCTAAACTCTCGTGGGCGTACCTAATCTCTTCGGAGCATAACTAATCTCTCCTGGGCATAACTAACCTCTAGGGGGCATAACTAACATCTCCTGGGCATAACTAACCTCTCATGGGCATAGCTTAACCTCTCCTGGGCATAACCAAACCTCTCCTGGGCATAACCTATCCTCTTCTGGGCATAACCTAACCTCTCCTGGGCACAACTAAACTCTCGTGGGCATACCTAATCTCTTCGGGGCATAACTAATCTCTCCTGGGCATAACTAACCTCTAGGGGGCATAACTAACATCTCCTGGGCATAGCTAACCTCTCATGGGCATAACTTAACCTCTCCTGGGCATAACCAAACCTCTCCTGGGAATAACTAACCTCTCCTGGGCATAACTAACCTCTTTTGGGCATAATTTAACCTTTTCCGGGCATACCTAACCTCTCCTGGGCATAACCTAACCTCTCTTGGGCACACCTAACTTCTCCTGGGCATAACCTAACATCTCCTACGCATACCCTAACCTCTCCTGGGCATAACTAGCCTCTTCTGGGAATCCCTAACCACTAGGGGGCACACCTGACATCTCCTGGGCATAACTAACCCCTCCTGGGCATCCCTAACCTCTCCTGGGTATACCTAACCTCTCCTGGGCATAACCTAACCTCTTCTGGGCATAACCTAACCTCTCCTGGGCACAACTAAACTCTCGTGGACATTCCTAATCTCTTCGGGGCATACCTAAACTCTCCTGGGCATAACTAACCTCTCCGGGGCATAACTAACACCTCCTGGGCATCCTTAACCTCTCCTGGGCACACCTAACCTCTCCTGGGCATAGCATAACCTCTCCTGACAATAACTAAACTCTCCTGTGCATAACTAACCTCTTTTGACCATAACGAACCTCTCCTTGGGCACAATTAACTTCTCCTTGGCATAACTAACCTATCCTGGGCATAACCTAACCTCACCTAGGCATAACCTAACCCCTCCTGAGCATAACTTACCTCTCCGGCGCATAACTTACTTCTCCTGGGCATAACCTAACCTCTCCTGGGCGTAACTAATCTCTCCTGGGCATAACTATCCTCTCATAGGCATAACTAACCTCTCCTGGGCATAACCTAACCTCTCCTGGGCATAACCAGGTTAGAAGTTAGTTATGCCTCTCCGCGGCATAACTAACGTCTTCTGAGCATAACCTAACCTCTCCTGTTCATACGTAACCACTTCTGGGCATATCTACCCTCTCCTAGGCATAACCTAACCTCTCCTGGGCATAACCTAACCTCTCCTGAGCTTAACTATCCTCACCTGGGCATAGCTTAATCTCTCCTGGGCATAACAAACTTCTCCTGGGCATAACTAACCTCTCCTGGATATACCTAACCTATTCTGGGCATAATCTAACCTCTCCTGGGTATAACTAACCTCTCCTGGGCATAACTAACCTATCCTGGGCATAACCTAACCTCACCTAGGCATAACCTAACCCCTCCTGAGCATAACTTACCTCTCCGGCGCATAACGTACTTCTCCTGGGCATAACCTAACCTCTCCTGGGCACATCTAAACTCTCCTGGGCGTAACTAACCTCTCCTGGGCATACCTAACCTTTCCTGGGCATACCAAACCTCTTCTGGTCATAACCTAACCTCTCCTGAGCATAACTAACCTCTCCTGGGCATAACTAACGTCTTATAGGCATATCTAACGTCTTCTGGGCATAACTAACCTCTCCTGTGTTTATCTAATTTCTCCGGGGAATAACTAAACTCTTCTGGGCTTAACTAACCTCTCCTGGGGCATACCTAACCTCTTCTGGGCATCCCTAACCTTTCCTGGGCATACCTAACCTCTCTTGGGCATAACTAACCTCTTCTGGGCATAACTAACCTCTCAAGGGCATAACTAATCTCTCCCGGGCATAACTAATCTCTCTGGGCTTAAATAACCTCTCCTAGGCATAACTAATCTCTCCGGGGCATATCTTACCTCTCCTTAGCATACCTAACCTTTTCTAGGAATACGTAACCTCTCCTGGGCATAACTAACCTCTTCTGGGCATACCCTAACCTCTCTTGGGCATATCAAACCTCTCCTGGGCATAACAAACTTCTCCTGGGCATATCTAACCCCTCCTAGGCATAACCTGACGTCTCCTGGGCATACCTAACATCTCCTGGGCATAACTAACTTATCCTGGGCATAACTAATCTCTCCTGGGCATATCTAATCTCTCCTGGGCCTAACTAACCTCTTCTGGGCTTGACTAACCTCTCCTGGGGCATACCTAATCTCTGCTAGGCATCCTTAACTCTCCTGGGCATATCTAATCTCTCCTGGGCCTAACTAACCTCTTCTGGGCTTAACTAACCTCTCCTGGGGCATACCTAACCTCTGCTGGGCATCCTAAACATCTCCTGGGCATAACTAACCTCTCCTGGGCATAACTAACCTCTCCTGGGCATATCTAACCCCTCCTTGGCATAACCTAACCTCTCCTGGGCATAACTAATCTCTCTGGGCATAACTAAACTCTCCTGGGCATAACTAACCTCTCCTGGGCATAACTAACCTCTCCTGGGCATACCTAACCTTTCCTGGGCATAACTAACCTCTCCTGGGCATAACTAACCTCTCCTGGGCATAACCTTACCTCTCCAGGGCATAACTAACCTCTCTCCTATGCATAACCTAACCTCTCCTGGGCATAACTAATCTCTCCGGGATAACTAACCTCTCCTGGGCATAACTAATCTATCCGGGCACAACTAACCTCTCTCCTAGGCAAAACCTAACCTCTCCTGGGCATAACAAACCTCTCCTCTGCATAACTAACCTCTCCTGGGCATAACTAACCCCTCCTGGGCATATCTAACGTCTTCTAGCATATAACATCTCCTGGGCATAGCTAGCTCTCCTGGGCATAACTAACCTCTCCTGGGCATAACTAACCTCTCCTGGGCTAACCTCTCTTAGGCATAACCTTTACTAGGTATAACCTTTCCTAGGCATAACCTCTCTAGGCATAACCTAATCTCTCCTAGGCATAACTAACCTCTTCTGGGCATACCCTAACCTCTCTTGGGCATACCAAACCTCTCCTGGGCTAACAAACTCTCCTGGGCATATCTAACCCTCCTTGGCATAACCTGACGTCTCCTCTACCTAACATCTCCGGGCATAACTAACTTATCCTGGGCATAACTAATCTCTCCTGGGCATATCTAATCTCTCCTGGGCCTAACTAACCTCTTCTGGGCTTGACTAATCTCTCTGGGCATAACTAAATCCCTCTCCTGGGCATAACTAACCTCTCCTGGGCATAACTAACCTCTCCTGGGCTAATACCTAACCTTTCCTGGGCATAACTAACCTCTCCTGGGCATAACTAACCTCTCCTGGGCATAACCTTACCTCTCCAGGGCATAACTAACCTCTCTCCTATGCATAACCTAACCTCTCCTGGGCATAACTAATCTCTCCGGGATATAACTAACCTCTCCTGGGCATAACTAATCTATCCGGGGCACAACTAACCTCTCTCCTAGGCATAACCTAACCTCTCCTGGGCATAACAAACCTCTCCTCTGCATAACTAACCTCTCCTGGGCATAACTAACCCCTCCTGGGCATATCTAACGTCTTCTAGGCATAACTAACATCTCCTGGGCATAGCTAGCCTCTCCTGGGCATAACTAACCTCTCCTGGGCATAACTAACCTCTCCTGGGCTAACCTCTCTTAGGCATAACCTTTACTAGGTATAACCTTTCCTAGGCATAACCTCTCCTAGGCATAACCTAATCTCTCCTAGGCATAACCTAACCTCTCCTAGGCATAACCTAACCTCTCCTAGTCATAACCTAACCTCTCCTAGGCATAACCTAACCTCTCCTAGGCATAACCTAACCTCTCCTCGGCATAACCTAACCTCTCCTAGTCATAACCTAACCTCTCCTAATCATAACCTAACCTCTCCTAGGCATAACCTAACCTCTCCTAGGCATAACCTAATCTCTCCTAGGCATAACCTAATCTCTCCTAGGCATAACCTAACCTCTCCTAGGCATAACCTAACCTCTCCTAGTCATAACCTAACCTCTCCTAGTCATAACCTAACCTCTCCTAGGCATAACCTAACCT